AGTAAAGACGGGTTTCACCATATTGGCCAGGCTGCTCTCAAACTCCGGACCTCAGGTCATCCATCTGCCTTGGCCTCCCGAAGTACTAGGATTACAGGCGTTTGAGCCACCGTGCCAGGCCTCTTCATTATTTCTTACAATTACATGTGAAACTACAATTAACTCAAAATAAAATGTTTAATTTAAAAATCTTCATTAGTAATATATTCATGAATAACATAATACTGAATATGTTTTTGAATAGGAAATTTTCTTATGAACACATTTCTCTTTTGAATGAGCCTATACGAATGAGGAGTTTAGTCTACCTTCATATGCTCCTCAACCTCCTGCATTCTATGCTGTCAGTTTACTGGTGCATTAGCAAAGTGCCAAAGTCAGCATTCCCTTATAAATGTAAGGAAGGTAACATTCCTTTGCTAAAACTATACAGCTTGTTTTTTAAAAAATTTTGAATTCATTTTTAAAACACTTTATAATAAACATTTTAAAGCTGGTCAATTGCACATAATCATGAATAACTAGTAAGTAACAATGATAATGGTAGTCACTGATGATGGTGTTGATGGTAATGAGTGAGATGGTTGTGGTGATGATGGGCATAATGATCCCAATCATGACAATTGTGACAACAGTAATGGGGTTGTTGATTGTAAAATTACCTAAAGCTGGCATTAGACTGTAAGTTTTCCTAGCTGCAAGATCACTCTACCAATAAAAGGAAAATTAACACACCTGGGAGACAAAGCATGCTTCACAGAGCCAGTGTAAAGCAAGGCTCTAATTGCTCCATTAGTGAGGACCCCAGTCTCTCAAGTGATTACAGCCCAGGAGACACTGTGCCCATGTATACATAAACACAATCCCAAGCCCCCAACCTTAGTGACCCGTTTTTTATGACTTTGAGTATACGGATCCTGAATTTTCTGATTGCTGAAACCAAGGCAGCCCCTAAAGTTTCTAACAGACTGTGCTCCGTTTTTCCTTATCACAGGTATTTAATTACAAACTTTAAGCAGTTGGATGAGAAAAATATTTCTTTCATGAACTCTTGCTTATAATGCAGACTATTTACAACCATATATTTACCTTCACCTCTATGTGCTTTTTTAATCTGTGTGCTGTGTTCTCACTGACAGTAATCCTAAGGCTCTGATGGCTTGGTGAAACTAGAGGTGATAATTGCAGTAACTAATATAAAATATATGGCCTGGCTCACACCTGTAGTCCCAGAGCTTTGGGGGACCAAGAAAGGAGGGTTTCTTGAGGCCAGGAGTTGGAGACCAGCATGGGCAATACAGAGAGATCCCATCTGTACCCTAAACTTTAAAAAGTAGCCCACCATGGTAGCATGCACCTGTAGTCCCAGCTACCCAGGAGGCTGAGGTGAGAGGCTTGCTTGAGCTCAGGAGTTCAAGGTTATAGTGAGCTATGATCACACCACTGCATTCAAACCTGAGCAACAGAGTAAGATTCCGTTTTTTAAAAAGAAGAAAAACAGAAAAATAAAAGAAATATGTAGTTTATATTTGCCTCTTTCATGTTATTAGAAGACTATAAGAGTGAAAAATTAAATCAATGCTGTCTAGCATTCTCCTACTCAATGGTGTTCCCACCTGCTGTGCACTCAGTGAATGGTGTTCACTCCACACTGCTTTGTAAAGCACATGATCTACAGTTATAGTTATTCAAGTTGGGTATTTCTTATCATTTTGGGAGGCAGAAATTGGGTAAAAAAGAAATGTAAATTGTTTTAAATCTACTATTGTTATTTAGAAAAAAATTCTTCTTTGTAATAAGTGAAAATAATACATTTCTATCTCCATTGTAATAAATGGAAGTAATTCCTTATGTGCAATGCTTGGGACTAGAAGTGTCTTGAATTTCAACTTTTTTCATGTTTTAGAATGTTTGAATATACATAATGAGATATCTTCAGGATGAGATCCAAGTCTAAACATGAAATTTATATATGCTTCATATACATCTTATACACACAGGCTGAAGATAATTTTATACAATTTTTTTTTTTTTTTTGAGATGGAGTCTCGCTCTGTCACCAGACTGGAGTGCAGTGGCGCAATCTTGGCTCACTGCAACCTGTGCCTCCTGGGTTCAAGAGATTCTTCCGCCTCAGCCTCCCTAGTAGCTGAGACCACAGGTGCATGCCATCACACCCAGCTAATTTTTGCATTATTTTTCATAGAGGCAGGGTTTCACCATGTTGGCCAAGGTGTTCTCGATCTCTTGACCTCCTGATCCACCTACCTCAGCCTCCCAAAGCGCTGGGGTCGTGAGCCACCGCGCCCGGCCATTGTATACAATATTTTTAATAACTTTTTTGCACAAAACAGTTTTGACTACCTTTTGACTGAGACTAGTCACATGAGAGGAGGTGTGGAATTTTCCACTTGTGGTTCATGTTGGTGTCCAACAAGTTTCAGATTTTGGACTTTGAATTATCAGATTAGGAATGCTCAACTTGAATTTAAAAAATCTTAGCTATCTCTCATACTAGCTATTGTAAAGTTAAATGCCTCATTACCAATAATTTGACATATAAAGTTTACAATGCAATGCAGACTTTGTCTTCACAACACATCCTAATGATTTTAAAGGCTCTTACATCTAAGAAAAAGGAATATAGTTAATGCCAGTTATTATTATTATAGGAATCAAATGAGACAATGCATTTGTGAATGCTATGCTAAAAAAGCAGTTTATAAATGTTTTTGTAAATATATGTATGTATTTATATACATGTAAATACATATATGGCATAGGAAAAGTCTAGATGGATATTCACTACCATCGTTTGGTTCCAAGTAGTGGAAAACGGCTGTTTTAAATTTTTGCTTATTTGCATTTCTAATTCACTACAATGCATATATATGGCCTTTATAATTTTTTAAATTCACCCAAAATTAGCAATGGATCTTTCATCTATCTTCAAAAATTATGTAAATTAAATGTTATTAAATAATAATAAAGTGCTACACAAAGATAAGCTAAAACAAAACAATTTAGTTTAGTGGAGACAAAACACACTCGTGGTCAGAAGTCCTGGGTTTTAGGCCCAGTTCTGCCTCTTACTAGCCTGGTTACCTTGGGTAACTTATTTAACTTTTAGAGCTTCAATTTCCTAAGCAATGAAACAAAATACAGCATTCTTCTTTTTCCTATGTCATGCATATACTAAGATATCAAGCATAAACCTGTTTTAATCACACATTGCTTAGAACTGTAAGTGTGCAGATTTCCAAGGCTACACATGTGAGGCAGAAGAGGAAACTCATGATCGGGAAACTCAGGGAGCGGGGTAAGTTCCAGCTCCAAGTCACCAATAATTAGTAAACCTTGGGCAAATCACTTAGTGTCTGGAATCTCAGTTTTCTCAATATAAAAATGAAAATTAAGATCCTTCCCTAAACATATTTTTCCCCATTTCCCAAAATTTTAGAAGTTAACGAGATTGACCTTTGAAACAAATGTGTAAGCTGTAAAGCATTATGCAAACGTTAGTAATTACGTAAGGAAGCAATTAAAATAAGGGAAATTTAAGTTTTATAGCTTAAGAAATACATCCCACAGATGCGACTATCTATACATAATGTATCCGGCAATGATTATTCATGCTTCCTAGAGATATGTCTGTAATTTGAATACTATAATAGGACCATGGTTTGATATAATGATTTGAAAATAACAATAATGATAATAATAATTAGCTATTTAGCATTCACTGTGAAACATTCAGTAGGCCAGTGGTCAGGGTGCACCACAGATCAATTAAATCAGAACTTTTATGGGTAGAACCCAGGAATCAATACTTTATAAATGCTCCATGTGATTATAATATATAGCCAATTCTGAGAATCACTGCCTTAGGATCTCAAGTCAAGTGAGAAATTAAGAATAAATTCCAGACTCTTAATGACAATTCACATTTTTATAGGCACTGAGTATTTGAAAAAAAAGATTTCTAAATATGCATTATCCCATGTTATTTTTACATCGATATTAATTTCTTCATCTTTCAGACATAGAAATTGATGTGTCCATCAATGACACAGCTTGCAACTATCATATCACCCCGACACTGCATAAATTTCAGATAGGTACTTGCATGTTCACATCCAGTGAATATTTAGGAATTATACACATGACAAGGAAAGTTTATTTCTAAAGCAAAATCCATCTCCAACTACAAAATATGAAATATACTACTTATTATCTACAGTGTAGAGATTCTCGGACTTTACTATGCAATACCATCACCAGAGAGATTAATTCACAGATTGCTGGGCCCCATATCCAGAGTTTCTGACTAAGTAGATGTGAGCTGAGGCCTGAGAATTTGCATCTCTAAAAATCTCCAGGTAATGTCAGTGCTGCTGGTCCGGGGACTCCTTTTGAGAAACACTGCCCCAAGATATTTTAGAAGCATGTGCGTGGTAAAAGATCCGGACCTTGGCCTGCTTTCCTCTCATCTTCATGATCTTTGAAACACTCAGGGTGGTCTTCCTGCAAAAAGATCCGCAAATAGCAGGAGGAGGGGAGGAGGGCAGGGAGGATGTATCAGCAGAGAGCCCAGGATATTTAACTAGCACCAAAGGCTCAAGACTAGCTTCCCCAAGCAATCCAAGGTTAGCCTTTTAATGGGGTTCTTGTCTCCCACGTATCTCTGCAGGCTTCCCACCCAGAGGAGGATGGCTGCAGAAAATCACTCTACAGTGACAGAGTTCATTCTCAGGGGGTTAACAAAGAGACAAGACCTCCAGCTCCCCCTGTTTCTCCTCTTCCTCGGGATCTACTTGGTCACCATGGTGGGGAACCTGGGCATGATCACTCTGATTTGGCTGAACTCTCAGCTTCACACCCCCATGTACTACTTTCTCAGCAATCTGTCACTTGTGGATCTCTGCTACTCCTCCGTCATTACCCCTAAAATGCTGGTGAACTTTGTGTCAGAAAAGAACATCATCTCCTACGCAGGGTGCATGTCACAGCTCTACTTCTTCCTTGTTTTTGTCATTGCCGAGTGTTACATGCTGACAGTGATGGCCTACGACCGCTATGTTGCCATCTGCCACCCTTTGTTTTACAACATCATTATGTCTCCTCTCACCTGCTCCCTGCTGGTGGCTGTGGTCTACACCATAGGACTCATTGGCTCTACAATAGAAACTGGTCTCATGTTAAAACTGCCCTATTGTAAGCTCCTCATCAGTCACTACTTCTGTGACATCCTCCCTCTCATGAAACTGTCCTGCTCTAGCACCTATGATATTGAAATGACAGTCTTCTTTTTGGCTGGATTCAACATCATAGTCACAAGCTTAACAGTTCTTGTTTCTTACATCTTCATTCTCTCCAGCATCCTCTGCATCAGCAACACAGAGGGTAGATCCAAAGCCTTCAGCACCTGCAGCTCCCACCTTGCAGCTGTGGGAATGTTCTATGGATCAACTGCATTCATGTATTTAAAACCCTCCACAATCAGTTCCTTGGCCCAGGAGAATGTCGCCTCTGTGTTCTACACCACAGTAATCCCCATGTTAAATCCCCTAATCTACAGCCTGAGGAACAAGGAAGTAAAGGCTGCCATACAGAAAACACTGAGGCGTAAACTGTTTTGATGCAAATGTTATTGTTCCTTTTCAATTTAGTAGTAATTGTTATAAATACCAGAGTGACAGCTTCTGAATGCTAACCAGCTGTGGATGGAAAATAATCACTTCTCCACATGGCTGGGTGAATGCCCTTTTACCTTCTTTCCTCTTCCTTCCCTCCCTCTCTTGTCCCTTCTGTTTGAAAACAGCCAACTTTAAGATCAGGTTTTCTTTCACTTGGGATCCATCCCTCTATCCCAAGCCCTTTAATAAATGTTTCCTACCTTAATTGCAATTTAACTTAAATGCTAAAATTTCAACACTGAGTTTTAGAGTCATTCATAGTCTTATTACCTTCTATGTAGAAAATATTATTCAGCCCAATTTTTTATTTTTGTATTTGGAAATAAATGAGGCAAAGAGAGATGAATTTGAATGTCACCAGGACGTGAAAAAACAAACAACTATGAGCCTCTCTCCTGAGGAAAAACATACAAAGCTTCACTTATTAAACGCTTTGAAGAATGTATGAAGAAGTGTTGGATGAACGTGTTAGGATGGGATGAACCTAGCTGAGGGCATCCTGGTTCCCTTCCTCTTGATATGGCCCAGGCCTTGAGTCCCATAGTCTTCTTTCCTTCCTTCCCATAGTCTTCCTTCCTTCCCCATGATGTATGAGACAGAGGTGGAGTAAAGATCAGCTTTATTATTGGCATGAAGGCAGGGAGGTGGTGATCGTGCCAGGCCCTTCTGCAGGCAACGAGGCAGAAGGCTTCTCAGCCAGCACCGATCCTCCAAGTTGGCCCTCCCAATAAGGTCCAGGGTTCCAGGTGCCTCTGGCTTAAAGCAAAAGCAGACTTCCTTTCCTCTCTTTCACCCCTCTCTACTTACTTCTGCCCAAGAATTTCCTGATCTCTTTATGTAATTTTCTTAGTAACATTAATAATGATAATAACAGCTAACATTTTTTGGATGCATGTATTTGGATGCTTACTCTGATCCATGCAACTCTTCTATGTGCTTTCTGCTTTATTTCAATTATACTGCACAACAAGCAGGTACTATTCTATCCTCATTTCACAGAGAGGGAAACTTGGAGCAGGAGTAACAACACTGGGATTCAAACCCCAGTCCCAGTGACTCCAGAGCCCAGACTCTGGGCACTCACATATTGCTTCCTTCACTTTAGGCTAACAGTCCCTTTAAACAGCCTATTAAGCCTCCCATAACTATGCTCGTCCCATTTCAAATGCCTTCTGAAAATAATTTCTCAAATCTCTTCCTTTTATCATCTGCCCAAACCTCTTTCCCTTTATGGGCAACATCTATAATAGAATGAGAAAAGATGCCTAACCAGCACATATAATAATAAACCCTAGAAAACCAGCAAGAAAAAGACATCAACATTAGCAGGAAAAACAAAAATGAGCAAGGTATATAGAACAATTTACAAAAGAGAAAACCTGAAGTACCACAGAGCATGTAAAGAGACGCTCAAACGGATTACTAAACATAGAAGTGCAAATTTAAACAGTGATATATCTTTTTACATTTATAAGATTAGCAAAACTTTTAAAAGCTGGATGGTGCTAAGTGTTAGTAAGGAGGTAGGGATTTAGGAACTCCCATGTACTACAGCTATTCTGGAAAACAGTAAGACATTGCTTAGAAAAAATAAGTATATGCACCCACAGGGCATAGCAAATCTGGTCCAGGGTATATATGGCCCAAAATCATTCTCTTTCAGGCCTTTAAGATGGCATGTAGAAAGGCATTCATTATACCATTATTTTTGGCGATGGGAACTTAGAGAAAAAATAGGTGTCCACCATTGGTAAAGTAAGTGGATAAATTTTATCCATTTACTTACAATTTCTAGATTTTTCAATGGTTAGAAGCAAAGAATTAGCTATGAACAATATAATTTAGAAGTACAGTGCTGTGTGAGAAAAGTAAGAAAGATAATGAGATATAAAACATATTATTTATGTACATTGAAATTGCATGTGCACACCCCCCCAAAAAGCACATTTAGGAAAAAAAAAACCCATAACATAAAATACTCATTAGGTAGGTTAGAACGGCTGTTGAGAGAGATAAGATGCACAAACAAAGATGAAACAGAAAACAAAGAAAGACCACATTCTGGCCATAAAACACACCTTAACTAATTTAAATGAATAGAAATTATACAATGTCTGTGGCTCATGCCTGTAGTCCCAGCTACTTGGAAGGCTGAGGCAGGAGAATAGCTTGAACCCAGGAGGTGGAGGTTGCAGTGAGCTGAGATCATGCGACTGCACTGCAGCCTGGCAACAGAGCAAGACTCTGTCTCCAAAAAAGAAAAGAAGAGAAAAGAAATCATACAATGTCTGCTGTCTGCTCTCAGACCACAAGGAAATTAAACTAGAAATCATAACAGAAAGACAGCTGAAAAATCATAAACTATTTTGAAATTAAACAACACATTTCTACATAACACGTGGGTCAAAGAAGAAAATCTTAAGAGAAATTTTAAAATATTTTTAATAAAATGAAAATGAAAACGCAACTAATCAAAACTTGTGGGATGCTGCAAAAGCAGAGCTTAGAGGGAAGTTTACACCATTGAATGCATTAGCGAAGAAAAAGATCTAAAATCAATCACTTAGACTTCCACCTTAGGAAACTAGGTTGGAAGAATGGCAAATTAAATCCAAAGTAAGCAGAAGAAAAGAAAAAAAACTAGAGAAAAATTAATAATATTTAAAACAAAATCAACAGGTAAAAATCAATGAAACCAAAAGCTGGTTCTTTGAAAAGATCAATAAAATTGATAAGCCTCTAGCCAGGCTAACTGGAAGAAAAAAGAGAGTGGACACAAATTACTAGTGTCAGAAATGAAAGGGGGATATCATTATGAACATTAAAAGAATAAGGAATTACTATGAACAACTCTATGCCTACAGACTTAATAACCTAGATGAAATGGACCAACTCCTTGAAAGATACAATCTGTCAAAACTCACACAAGAAGAAATGGACAAACTGAAAAGGCCTATATCTATTAAAGAAACTGACTCAATCATTAATAACCTTTGAAAACAGAAAACACCAGGTTCAAATGGGTTCACTGGTGAATGCTACCAAACATTTTAAGAAAGATATTATACCAATTCTCTACAATCTCTTTCAAAAGATTGAAGCAGAGGGAATACTTCCTAAATCATTCTTTGAGGCCAGCATCACCCTAATACCAAAATCAGGCAAAAATATTATAAGAAAAAGAAGCTACGGATCAGTGTCTATCATGAACAGAGATAATGAACTCCTCAACAAAATATCAACAAATTGAATTCAGCAATGTATTCAATAACTATACACCATAACCAACTGTAAATCCCTAGTATGTGAGGCTGGTTCAACATTTGAAAATCAATTAATGTAATCCAAATCCACATCAACAGGCTAAAGAAGAAAAATTATGTGGTGATATCAATAGATATAGAAAAAAAAATTTGGCAAAATTCCTCACTCATTTATAATTTTTTTAAACTCTTAGCAAACTGGAATACGGGGGAACTTCCTGAACTTGATAAAGAATTGTTTTTAAACCTACAGCTAGCATCATACTTAATAATGACAAAATTTAATCTTTCCCACTAAGATCAGGAGCAAAGCAAGGATGTCCCTTCTCACTGCGGTTTTCCAACATTGTACTGGAAGTCCTACCTAAGGCAGTAATACAAGAAAAGGAAATAAAATATATACATATTGGGATAGAAGAAATAAAACTGTCTTTGTTCACAGATGACATGATTGTCTATTTAGAAAACTAAAAATAATTGACAAAAAGAAAAAGAAAAACTTCCTGGAACTAATAAGCATTTACAATGATAAGGTTGCAGCATACAAGATTAACATACAAAAGTCAATTGCTTTCTTATGTGCCTGCAAAGAACAGTGGAATTTGAAATTTAAAACACAATGCCATTTATGTGAGAACTCCAAAAAATTAAATACTTAAGTGTGAATCTAAAAATTATGTGCATGATCAAAAAGAGGAAAACTACAAAACTCAGATGAAAGAAATCAAATACTAAATAAATGGAGAGATATTCCATATTCTTGGAAAGGAAGACTCAATAATTCATAATTGCCAACACTTGGAAGCAACCAAGCTGTCCCTCAGTAGGTGAATTATAAATTAACTGTGATATGTACAGACAATGAAATATTATTCAGTGCTAAAAAGGAACGAGCTATCAAGCTATGAGAAAGCATGGAGGAACTCGAATGCATATTACTAACTGAAAGAAGTCAATCTTAAATGGCTACATACTGTATGATTCCAAGTGTCTAACATTCTGGAAAGGGCAAAACTATGGAAACAGTAAAAAGAACAGTGGCTGCCAAGGATTAGGGTGGTAGGGAGTGATGAATGGGTGGACCACAGAGTATTTTTAGGGCAGTGAAAATACTCTGTATGACACTATAATGATGTATACGTGTCATTATACATTGGTCTAAACCCAAAGAAGGTACAATATCAAGAGGAAACACTAATGTAAACTTTAGCCTTTAGGTGATAATTGTGTGTCAATGTAGGCTCATCAATTGCAGCAAATGTACCACTCTGGAAGTGGGTGTTGATATTGGGGAAGGTTATGTATGTGTGGTGGTAAGGGAAATATAGAAAAATCTCTGTACCTTCTGCTCAATTTTTCTGTAAACCTAAAACTATCTTTAAAAATAAATTCTATTTTTTTAAAAAAGAAGAAACAGACATAAAAATTATTTTTCCTAGACCCACCACCCTCAGGTACATACTAGTGAACACATTCAAGAAGCTCTGGATCAGAGCTAGCCACTGAACCACTGAATAGGGAGACAGACAAGTCCACCCTTAATATGTGTGAGGTCTTGGGATAGACTATCTACATGTTTAAAATTTGTAAATTAAGCTAGCAAAGTGTTAAATGTTTTCCTTCCTTCTATCTGGATAGACATACCTTCATAACAAGCTAGACAGCCAGGTTCAAATTTAGAAATCTCGGAATTCTAAGAGTTCCATGCCAGAATGTGGCACTAGGAAAAGGCTCTCCCTGGCATTCTCTTCACAATCATGGCTTTCTCCCTCCACTTCCCCCCCACATTGTGTTCCATTCCACAAGAGACCTCACATGTACACGTAGATGGACAACCTGGTATTCAAACTCTTGGTCCATACACCTACACAAAGCAACCCCTGACTGTCCCTTTTGTCTAAGTTTGAACAGCCAGTAGTGGTCTGCCTTGAGGACATGGTCCTGG